AGAGTTATGATAGAGAAAGTGACAATAAATGGGAATATTTGAGACCTATTTTATAGAAAGAGGCTCGCTGATAGATTCAGATGGTGAGGTATGGATCGAGGCATTAAGGATCCCTGCCAGATTATAAAGTGAGTAACTAGATGCACAGAAGTATCACTATCAAGACATGAAGAACAAGAAGAAAAGCAGACTTAGGAGGGAAGATCAAGGCTTCAGTTTTGAACATATGAAATTTGAGACCTTAAACAAGAAAGTGGATGCATGGCTTGGAGTTCAGAAGAATGGCCTGTACTGAGAAGCACATTTTGAAATTCTTGGCAAATAGAGAATATTTGGAGCCATCATTGTTGGCTTTAGATAGTTTTTCTTAAATCTGGATGACTTTGTACTTATTTAATTGGTTTCTATTTTTTAATATTTGAGCCTATGGTTCTGGTTAAAACTTCCAATCTCCTATTTTAATCACCCCAATTCAGCCTCATTTTACAGGATTATTTTTAATTACACTGTAAAGACAGAGTACTTCAAAGGAAATAAGTAGATTTTTGACTATATGCCTTGGGAAAATAAATCATTATCTCTGGGTATTAGTTTCTCAAATATGGTAAGGGAATTTATCATTTCCAGTTTTAAAAATCTACGATTCTGGCCCCCAGCACAGAGGATGTGAGCTGCTCCCAGTGCCCAAGAGGAGGCTTCTGGGCCACCATACCACCCCCTTCAGTGCAGAGGAGGTAAGCCACACAGGCACCAGAAGCACCCCCTGTCGAAATTAGAAGACATGTAAACAAGTCTCAGAACCAGACTTCCAGATCACCTAAAGTAACCCCAAAGGGAAATGAGATGAAACACTCTGATACTCAAACACCTGGACTCCCTGAACTCCCAACGAAAGAGGATCTGGAAAAAATGAAATCAGAAATAATTTCTCACATAACAGCAGAGATTGTGTTCATAGTGCAAGACATGGTTAATAAATCTAGAGAGGAGCTGAGGAACATGATGGAATCCCAACATAGGAAACAAATGGAATCCATAAAACAGTTACAAACAGATTTCCAGGAGATTAAAAACTCCATTGAAAGTCTATGCAGCAGAATGAGCCAGTGTGAAGACAGAATTTCAGATATAGAAGATAAGATTGCAATTAGTGACCAGGAAAAGAAAAATTGCT